AAATGGTTTAAGAATGATTTTTAGCCAATATCCTTATGTCCAGAAGCTGGCTATGTATAGTACTGGCTCTCTTAGGATGCATTATCATGGCTTTTCTGAGCTTTGCCCTGTCTGGGGCCATTGGTTGGTGAAATGATGTTCCTCTTGCTTAGACCCTTTTGGTAGCCTTCTGGTAGGATTCATATCTTAATGACTACAGCAGTTTTAAACTGAAGTTTGATGCCAGTATCCCAGACAGTTCTGAACACAGGGGATCCAGGCCCTCTTCAACAAACAATAGACAGAATAGGAGGAGAGTCTCCCTGTCCCTTGAATGAAAGTAGTCCTAGAAACCTGATTATTTTCCTTCAATTTCCTTGAATGCTGACTTTCCTTCTTTCTCCCCTACTCACCCTACATCTGCCCCCTCCCCTCTCCCTTCCCACAGCTTCTTTCCAACCCACTTCCCTCTCAGCATCCACTTCCAATATCTATTTTTTTTTCCATTCTGAGAAAGTTTCAAGCATCCTCCATTGGCCCTCCTTGTTATTTAGCATATTTGGTTCTGTGGATTGTAGCATGGGTATACTGGACTTTAAGGCTAATATTCACTTATAACTCAGGTCTGATGATATTTTCTTTTCTTTCTTTCCTTTTTGTTTTGTCTTAAAAGCTTACCCAGAGAAAGGCTCAGGACTTCCTTGGGACCCTGAACAACAAGTACAGTTGCTGGCTAGTTAATAAAGACTTTCTATTGGCTTAAACCAGTATCCTAGTCTTCTCTGATCTAAGTAGTCTACACCACAACAACTGGACAAAACACCCATTGTTACTGAGGGTCTGTAATGTATTAGAACTCCAGGGACTATGAGTGTGTATGCCCTTATTAGTGGGAATATCATGGACTATGCATGCATATTCCCTTATTATCCCATTCCTATTTTAACCTTCAGCACCATGTCTTCTGGTGTGCTACCATGCTTCCCTCCATGATGATAATGGAGTAAACCTCTGAAACTGTAAGCCAGCCTGAAATAAATATTTTCCTTTATAAGAGTTGACTTGGTCATGGTGTCTGTTCACAAAAATGCAACCTTAAGACAGAGACTTTCCCATAACTATGGACATTGATGGTTTAGATATTCCTGTTCTTGTTACGGTTCTTGTTCATGTTCTTGTTCTTCTGGTTCTTATGCCTCTTGTTCTTGTTCTTCTCCTTCTTCTCTTTCTTCTCCTTCTTCTTCTTCTCCTCCTCCTCCTCCTCCTCTTCCTCCTCATTCTCCTTGTTCTTCTTCCCATTTTTCTTATTGTTCTTCTTGTTCTTGTTCTCTTGTTCTTCTTCTTCTTCTTGTTCTTCTTGTTCTTCTTGTTCTTGTTCTTCTTGTTCTTGTTCTTCTTGTTCTTGTTCTTCTTGGTCTTCTTGGTCTTCTTGTTCTTCTTGTTCTTGTTCTTCTTGTTCTTGTTCTTCTTCTTGTTCTTCTTGTTCTTCTTGTTCTTCTTGTTCTTGTTCTTCTTCTTCTTCTTCTTCTTCTTCTTCTTCTTCTTCTTCTTCTTCATCTTCTTCTTCTTCCCCTTCTCCTTCTTCTTCCTCTTCCTCCTCCTTTTTTCCTCTTACTCTTCTACTCCTCCTCCTACTCCTCCTCCTCCTTCTCCTCCTCCTCCTCCTTCTTGTCCTCCTTCTTCTTCTTTGCTCATTTTTGGCAGGTGGTGTTGTCTGCATGCTGAGTTTTACAGCCTGAATGGTGCTTCTTTCATGGACTCAGTTATGTTAAGATCTGGAGGCCTCCTAAGTTCTGGGGCCCTGTTACATTATCGGTAAACAAACTTGTAAGGTGACTTTATGAGGAGCATCATGAAGCCTAGAAGAGAATATTCCTAGAAACACAAGGTTATGTATCATTTGAGCACACAGTGGTACAGCTGCTGGCACAACAGGGACCTGAGAAGGAGTTAATGATAGTCAGAGGAAGAATGCTGATGTCTCCTCATGAATGAACAACTTCGATTCACCCACTGCTGTTGATGCATGGTCTTTCCAGTCATTAGACACTTGCTGCAAGAAGAGCTTGAGCAAACAGCATCTTTATCCCCTTCTCTAAGTTTCCCCTTCTGCCTTCCTTTTCTTTGTGACCTTGCTGTGTCCTGGAGGACAACCTCCCAGGATACAGATCCTATACCTGCAGATTCTCTCAGTCAGGGGACCACATCTGGGTGAGTGCTTGAGAAAGGAACCGCAGACCATCTGGACCACAACAATTCTGCCTCTGGAAGAATGGAAGGTTGAGTGCTTAGCTACATGGAATTGCTTTTTTCACACTGACCTACAGAGTCAATTAAGTAGTTTCAATTAAAATCCCAACCAAAGGGGCTGACTTCCTGGCTGAGGCCAAAGAATCACACCATCCATTCTACATGAAATCAGGACATGGGGTGTGACAGGCACCCCTCGATGAGTACCCCAAGAACATATTTAGTGGTGCCAAACATGCCTCCAGAAATGAAGACATGCTGTATCAGACCATAGGCAACAAAGTGTTTCCACTGACACACAGCAAGTCTGGAGTGGCAGGGAAGGTAGAGTTCCACAGTGTCCACCTAAAGTTACATGCCTGAGTCTCTGCAGAATCCTGAGTGTGCAAAGGAGTTGTAGGCCCCTTCACAGACACAACCAACCCAGAGCCTGTCTGTGTGGGAAGTCTCTCTGCAGTTCCTGTGTAACCACAGAAACCTGATTGAAAGTTTCAAGATCTGCTTTTGTTCATCAGCCTTGCAAAGAGATACACAGGAGGTGTATCTCTAACATGAAGGAGAAGACCTTAGAGCCCCTGTACCAAATATACTCTGAGCTTTTGTAAATAAATTAGAGTCAAATTAACTTGCATCATGCTACAAAAATCAACTTTCCAATGCTTGATAAGTACCTGAGACAAATTGATGTTTTGTGAGAAACAGAGATTCATTTGATTCCAGTGTCAGAGACATCATCCAGTCAATTGGCTTTCTTGTCTGGGGGTCTGTGGTAGAGAAAAGCCCACAATGGGAGGCATGTGCTGAAGCAGAGCCGTTCAAGGTCATGGCAGAAGAAGGGAGGACAGAAAAGGGCACTGTATCCCAAAAGATCCATCCAGGGCATGCCCACAGCATCCTAGCTTCTTCCTACTGAGTCTTACTTCCTAAAGCTGAGCATCTACTCACAGCAGCACAGGCTGCTTACAGCCTCGTTCAGAAGCTGGGTGTGGAAGTGGAGGTCTGGGACCCTAGAACTTCCAGCCTGAGGCTGAAAGAGGAGAAAAAAATGAATGCAATCTGGGTTTCTAAGCAAGTTCACACCAAACCCATGTTACAGAGTGACACCCTGTCTCAACACTTCTTAGCACCCCCAAAGATCAGTCCCTAAAAACAGGTTACTGTGACAATTGTATAAATGCTGTGCACTGTCATTTCCATAGACAGCCCAAGCACTTGGCAGAGCTCTATCAAATGCTATGCTGACACTGGGTGTCTGTCAGTCAATAGGTCAATAATAGTCCTTGCAGGAGTATCCAAGGGGTGAAGAAATTCCAAGCATTGGACACAATCTCTCACAAATGGAATCTGCACAAAAAGTCATATATCAATTGGGACAACAAAATACTCACAGTGTTTTATAGGTCAAGTGAGGAAGTATTTCTTGAGACAATACCTTAAGATATTCATCAAGTTTGAAAAGAAACCACAAAGTGCTTACAACTAGGATATAACTCTGGCTGTCCTTCACAACAGAAGTGTGAGCAGGTGTGGAGATGTGTCACTGGATGGGAAGGCAAGGGAGGTTTTGATAACAAAAAAACTTAGAGAAGCATTTAATCTGTTGAAGCCAAAACTCTTATCTCTGTGACACTGCGATGTAGCTCAGTGGCAGATCATTTCTCTAGAGTGCACAAGGCCCTAGGTTCAAACCCAGCACAAAGGAGAAGAAAAATGAAAATTCTTTTATGTTTAGTGTATCTTTTTTAACATTGGTTTATAGTAACTCTGGCATCTTAGATAAAGTGGTGTTCTCCTGAGGGACCATGGTGTAAAACTGGACCATTAGTACTAGCTCTGGAGCAAATGTGGTAGATGGAAATGTACAAAGAAATGTTATACAGGAACCAATCAGAAAAATACTATGCAGTATGCTGTGTGTACAGTTTTTTGTTACTGTTTCTGGATACAGATTTGAAAGTTTGTTTTTCACATGTGTCTTTTACCTGTGTCTGCATTGATATGTACCATGCATGTACAGGTACTAACAAAAAACAACCAGGTGTCCAATTCCCCTGGAGCTGGAGTTAATTGCAGTTGTGACCTCTGGGTGATGAACTGGGTTCCTCTGGAAGAGAAGGGATCTGGAAGAGGGGAAGTTCTCTTAAGCGCTGACATCTCACTGATCCCTAAGACTTATTTTTACTTATGGGCCTCTGTGTGTCTTTGTACATGTGTATGAACATGCCAACAGATGCTATTAGAAAACATCAGATGCCCTGGAATGGAGTTGGAGGCGGTGGTAAGCAACCCAGCATGGGTACTGAAACCAAATGTGGGTCCTCTGGGAGAGCATCAGTGCTCTCTTAACCACTGAGTCATCTCTGCATACCCCAACATCATATAATTTTAAAGGTGAAAGACAGAAATGTAAATATTTATTCTGATTCTGGCTTTCCAAGGCTTTGTTTCTAAGTGTGTAGCCAGGCTAGGAATCTTGGTCTGTCCATTACTGAAACACAGTCTTGAAGTGTGCAGCCAATCAGCAGGTAATAGAAAGATTTCTATGTAGAGCTTAGATTCAGACTCCAAACTGCCCTGCACAAGAGGACTTAGAATTTGATTCCTTACAATGGAGCCAGCAGCACCATGGCTTGGCCAAGTGAAGAAACAGAAGGCTGGTTGCACAAGCAGGCAATGTACCAATCTGTGGGTTCTCATGATGAAGTCTCTGAGCCACCAGCTCCACCCACAGAGTATATCTATGGGCCCAAGTGGACCTCACCCATTATCCCTGATTTCCAGGACAACCAGTGCTGAGTTCCACAGGAGCCACAACGCAGACTGGGTAAGATACTGACTGTCTAGGCCTGGGACAGGAGGGCAGTGATGGGACAGAGTCCAGGAGAAGTGACACTGTGGACTCACAGTGACAGCAGAGGGCCTTCAGGAAGAGATAGAGAAAACTGAACTAGGGTGGGAGAAGTCACTACTCTTCTGTTCTCACAGGAAACATGGGTCTGAAGATGCTTGAGTCCCGACTTTGTCTCCTGCTGCTGCTGGGACTTGTCCTAATGCTTGCCTCATGCCAGCGACCAACTCCTTCCCAGTGGTTTAACATCCAGCATATCTATAATAGTGCCTATCCTCGATGTTATGATGCTATGCGGGTTGTTAACAATTATACAGGAAGATGTAAGGACTTTAATAGTTTTCTTCATACAACTTTTGCTGATGTTGTTCGCGTGTGTGGCAATCCACATAAAACCTGCAAAGACGGGAAAAGTACAAATTGTCATGACAGTTCATCTCAGGTATCTGTAACTTTCTGTAAACTCACAACTCCAGCAACCAATTATACCCTATGCAGATACCAAACGACAGGAGCAGTGAAGTTCTACACAGTTGCCTGTGACAACAGAACTCAACAGGACAGTCCCATCTATCCAGTGGTTCCAGTTCACTTGGATAGGGTATTTTAGCTCCAGTGCCAGCACGTTGTACCTTCGCTCATTTGCTAATGCCAAGATCATAATAATGAAGAACCAACTCCTCTCTGCCCTGCACATCAGTACCTGTCCTCATGAAACCTGTCCCTGTCACTAATGTAGCTGAAGAGATCTTTGCTAAACAATAAACACCTTTGCATACTGATCTATATCTCTGGTATCTCTGTGTCTGACAGAAAGAAACGGGGGTGGGGGAAGAGAGGGAGAGAGAAAGAAACAGAGACATGGAGAGACAGGGAGAGGGAGGGTGGAGAGACACACACAAAGAAAGAAGTGTGTGTGTGTGTGTGTGTGTGTGTGTGTGTGTGTGTGTGTGTTAAGGCAAGTCCTCATACCAATTGAGACATCTACCAGTTCCTGGAAACAAATGAATCTCAGGAGAGATGGGTATCTTTCCAGAATGTTCCTACAGGACATCTTCCCTGAATCTTCTCTGTGGGAAGGAAGTGGCTGGGAGAGGAGACCAGGGAATTGGGATCTCAGTGAGGCTGTCCCTTACCCTCTCCCTGCATAGCTATCCTCAGGGGTCACTTGTGAGACCATTCAATGCAAACCAGGAAGGACAGATCCCAATATAGGGGAACAGGAATTCACACAGAAAAGAAATGAATAATGAGAGGTCCTTCCCTGACTCCTGAGGACAGAACTAAAGTTAGAAATCAGTGTCAGACAGGAAGGTATCATCACTTTAAGGACATGGGGGAGCTCAGCATCAGCAGGTGTGGCAGTGAGCCTTCATGCAGTGCCAGATGCAGAATAAATCAGATGGGTGACATCCTCAGGTCCCTACTTCTGTCTTTCAGTCTGGATTTGAGCTTCCATTTTCTTTCTGGGCTCCCAGATGCAGTACTTGGCATATCCTCCCCACTGGGCAGTGGTGGTACTTCATGTTTTCAGTGGTCCATAGTCATGGCTGCAGGGAAGCCACTCCTCTTGAGCAGGAAATGGATTTGTTTGTGGACTCTGTCCTTCTGAGTTGGTGTGGAATATTGCAGAGTCTAGCATGGCCTTGGTGGGGACAGAATGACAGGGTTCCTGCTCCTGGGACAGGACCAGCAGATGTGGACTGCCATGGCATGAGGCTTATTTGTATAATAATATACATATTTTCATGTTCCTATGAGCAATGTCCTCCCTGTTAACCTTAATGACTCCATAAGGACCTGAGTGAGACAGCATGAGTCTAGGCAGCGAAGGTGTGGCTAATGTCTTTGCAGAATGGTACAGACTGTGACCTTCAGCACAGCCTTTTAGGCTGTGGATAAGAACTCTAAAAAGATGAGTTGGAAAATACATAATTTCTTGACTATGTGAAAATTAAGAATGCAATATAAATTATGAAGGGCTTCATGAATTCTAAAAAAGAAAGGCAACTACACTATAAACCTGCTTTTCAGAAAAATACAAAGACAGGCACATTCCTGAGTTTAAGGTCAGCCTGAGACACAGCAAGTCTAGTCCGAGGTGTGGTAGAAATAAATGGTAATTTCAGGCCTAGAAATTTCAGGTTCCACTCAGCTAGTTTACCTTCTCTGCTTGACAGAGGCAGGCAGATCTCTGAATTCTTATGCAATGTTAAAAGAAACTATGTTCTGGCTGTTTCCTAAGAATTAAGGGGCTGGGGTCACAGGATGTTGATTCATAGTATAATAAAAAACAAACAAACAAACAAACAAACAAACAAAAAACCTAAAGAGGTGTCTAGAGATTTCCAGAGAAAGTAGATCTGAGAGGGAAGAAAACAAAACACAGGGAATGTAGGCTGTCAGCTTGGACCCACAATTTGACTTTGAGTGGTTTGTTTTTGTCGTTCTCAGACACCTCTTCTTTCAGAAAACCCTCACCAACCTGAGGCTGGTCCTTGGCAGAATCTGTACTTTTCAAATGAATGCTAAATTTGGGGAACTTCTGGGGTTCACATAATCCACTGACTTCAGATGAAATTGGTTACAGCCTGAGAGTCTCACTATATAGCTGTGGTTGTCCTGGGACTTACTTTGTAGAGCAGGCTGAACTCACAAACAACTTTTTAATTTTTACCATTAATTTTATTGTCTAATGCTATCTTTAAGACTTGGTAAGAAATAAGCTTTTGTCTGCTCAAGCATCTTTCAAGTCTGGTATAGATGTTAAGTTTACTTTAACTCTCCCGGTAGATCATGGTTAGATTTACCATCAAACATAGCAAAACTAACAGAGGAGGAACAGGGCTCTCAATGTGTGCTAAATTATCTAATTACCAGCAGAACTTAAACAGCAGGAAATTCAGAAGTCAAGCTTCCTGCAGAGTGTACAGGGGACAGACAGAGTAGTAACACAAAGGGGAATCTGTGTGTGTTTTGTATTGACAGGTCTCCCAGGCCTTAAGACAGAACCAACTGTGTAAAGGACAGGAATCCTTTAAGGTCAGACCCTGCCTTAGGGAGGTTAAGAAGAAATGATTTCCCAGCAGTGCTCACAGGAACTGTGTTAATCAGGGGCAGATACACCCTAAGATCACCACTCTGTTGTGCAGAATGTGACTCCTGGGAGGCAGGACTGGAAGTGTGGGTTCCAATCGGGAACTGATGCTCTAAGCCTGATAAGACTTGGATCCATGCAACAGAGTAGAGCAGGCATGATCGTCCACATTTGCAACAGGCATGCAGGGGCTGACGGTGTAGTTCAGTTGGCAGTGCTTGCTTACTGTGTACAGAATCCTGGGTCCTGTCCCTAGCACTGCATAGACAGAACATCCCATAATCCCATTGTCTTGTGGTAGAGACAAGAGGGTGGGGAGTCTGAAGCCAGCCTGGGCTACACTGTGAATCTGAGGCTAGTTCTCAATACCTGAGACCCTGTCTCCAAAAACAAAAGCAAAAACCAAACCAAACAAACAAATAACAGCACCAACCTTGTAGGCCATGGCATTTTCCTGCCCTGTATTCTGTGGTCACTTTCTCCCCACCATTTCCAACCTCTCCAGTCACATGCTCCAGCCACACTATCCATAGCCTTCTCTGCCTGGGAGCAGGGTGACTCAGAGGAAACAGGGAGGCCTATGTGCTGTCAGAATACTGTGACTGAGTTTGCTATCTCTTGTAAACAGCCATCTAAAACTTCTATTGGCTTTTAGCCAGCACCACAGACACCCCATCCTCTAGAGAGCTTCACTGTTGACAGCAGCACTCTCCTGGGACAGGGTCCTGTCTATTACTCTCTCACTCAAAGCCATTTTTCCTGGTTGCTCTTTCCTGTCTCTTGTTCTCTACTCACATACACTAACAAAAGTTCTCACTCTTATTTATTTATTTATTTATTTATTTATTTATTATTTATATATATTTTTAAAATGTTAATCAAACGCTTTATACGTTCGGCAATACTCAATAACAAGACAACCATACAATCAGAAATGTAACCCAATACCCAAACTAGATATACAAACTATCTTTGACTGGTATAGGTAGTTTCCATGTTCCCTTCCCCCCCTTCTCTCTCTCTCTCTCTCTCTCTCATCTCCTAGCTCTTCCTCCTCTTTTTACTCCTCTTCTTCTCCTTACTCCTCCCACCTTAGCTCCTCCTACATATCACCCTTCCTGTTAAGGTAAAACTTTTCTCTCAAAATACAATAGAGCATAACTATACCAATTTGTATCAGTAAGGTACAAGAAAGACCTAATACCCAGTCCATCATTTTGTTGAGTCACCAGAACCTCTGTCATCTCTCCTCACTAAAAGACTTAGCTCCGAACCTGGCTTTTTTCTTGGCTTTGGAATGAATGTCAGCTGAAAACCATCCTCTCAAGTATTTTCTCTCAAAGTAAATAGCCGGGATTGGCTATGAGACTATAAGTCTTCAATCCCATCAGAAATCCAGAATAGCCAGGATTGGCTATGAGAGTATAAGTCTTCAATCCCATCAGAAATCCAGAATGACTGAATTAGCTGAAGTTATGGGAAGCACAAAGCTTAGCTCCTAAAACTTAGCCAATTTATAGAGACCACTGAACACCTGGACAGTCCCTATACTACAGAATGTTGGAGCATCCGATCTTCAGCCTTCTGGCCCAGGATCATCTGACAGACCTAGTGATGCAGAATTATTAAGGGCTGATTACTCTGTCTTGGCAGATATAATCAATCTACTATTCTGCAAGTGTGTCCTTTTCAGGACAGTAATTTGTCTGTAGATGAAAAGAGGCAATTCTTGCCTAGTGGCTGTCTCACCACAACTGGAGTAACTCCAAAGACGCTCAATTTCTTCTTAGAATCCAAGACAGGAAGCTGTCAGGAGCAGACAGGTCTCTAATCAAAATGAACCTTAATGCAGAAATGTTTGTAACATCAATTCTGTGGACTTCTGACGTTTTAAAAACCAACTATCCATGTAAGGCAATCTGGACTGTTGTCTGTTAACTCCTCTCAGCTATTTCTAAATAAAATATAGAAAACACTCTAACAATAAACTCAGAGCCATGATTTGCTATAGGCCCTGAACTCACAGACTAACCATCTCAAATCAGTTTTAAAAAAAAAAAGTTAAAGAAGGACTGGGCCTAAGCCTTGTATTCATAAATGTGTTATATAGGCACAATGCCTATGAGAATAACAGTATTAATCTCACTTCTATATCAATAAGAAACTCGTACCAATGAAAACCTTAAATTTGAAATCAAAGTAAATTTTGTACCATTTAAGAACTTATAACTTCAGCTTAATAACGATTATACAGATTTCTACCAATAGGTTATGGCTATGCAATAAATCCTAGCTATTCCTCCCTGTTCCAACAAAATCACTACTTTTCCCTAGAAAGACAGCCCAATATTAACCACCTCAGCCCCCAAGACCAGGAAATAGGGGCACTGACTCTTCATTAACTTCTTCAAGCTGATTATGGGCGTTGAGATATTAGAAGAGGGGCAGTGGAGGGGGGAAGAGTAAATTGATAAGCCTCTGACATCAGCTGAGATCCCAGGACATCAGAGGTTCGAGCAGGTCTGCTCAGCTTGTTTGATGAGTAGATACACCAAGGCAGTATATTCTGCAATATACAATTTTCAAAACAAATTTTAGTATCAAGATATTTTTTGTTTGAATTCTGGAAGCTAGTCTTCTGGTGGCCTGCCTCTGCCATGTCTAATCCATATAATTCTGGGAGTT